CGCCTACACCCCCGCCGGTGGCAAGACCAGTAATGACCCGCTCTGGAATGGGATAATGCCGACTGGCGATGGGTGTTGAGGATGATGGTGCAGGGACACGCCCGCTCATGGCTGCGCCCATAAGAGATCGGAATTTAATCTCTCCTAGACCTACCGACTCCCACTTCCAAGTTGCTTGTTCCCTGGCGCTCGGCTACGAATCCAACGTCGAGCACGAGACCCAAATCCAAGCTGATAGCCGGGAGACCTTTGGACCGCCGATGGTGTGCGAGACTGTCCATGAAGTTGCCTGCTGCATAATTTGCTTGGCCAGGGTTTCCGGTGATGCCAGATATTGAGCCGAGGAGAATGAAGAAGTCCAACTTCTCTGGAAGAATCTCGTGTAGATTCCAAGAGCCGAGCTCCTTGGGCTTGACTGACTCTGCATGCCCGTCATGAGACATGGTCTCCAAGATGCTGCCGTGCAGGGATAGCATGGACGGAATCCGTGGTTTTCTCAACGAATCGAGAATTTTTAGCTTACCCATCTCGGAGCACCACTGCGGATTGAACGCAGCCTACGATTGGAGGCAACGTTCTCGTACACTCATCTAGAGTCGACTTCAGCTGAGTCGCATCCGTGATGTCGCAGCCATAAAAGACGGCACGGGTGCCCTTTCCTCAGCTCCTTTTAAACAGTAGCAGCCTTTGGATCAGAGGCACCGGACCGAGACAAGAAGACGATGTTTTTGGCGCCAGACTCTGCCATGTATGATGCAAGACTTCTGCCTAAGCTACCTAGACCGCCCGCAATGACATATGTAGCGTTTAATTTCAGAGACGGAGTGCTTGCCATGGATGGATGCACCGGAAGAGTGTCTGTGGGTGCCACGGTAATGACGAGTTTACCGCGGTGCTTCCCGGCCTGCAAGGCGCACATCGCATTTAGTATGTTACGAAGGGGGTACTCGGTAACAGTTTGGATGGTCTTGATGGCCTTTTGCAAGAGCAGATTGTGGACATCCCGCATCAGGACGGCCGTTTCGTCTGCAAGGTTCCGATGAATGTAGCTGAGGTTAAAGAATGCGGATGTGGCATTGTTTTTGAAACGAGCCATGTCAAGACTGGAGTTGCCATCAACGTCCTTGATGCCCATCTCGACAAATCGACCGGATGGCCCAAGGCATTGCCAACTTTGACAGGCGCCTCACCCCGGACACGAATGAACTGTCGCGGCTGCTCAAGATGTGGCTCGCCCGGATGCCGTAGGTGCCCTGAAGCATCTAGCCTTGGTAGGCGATCCTACCGTGGCCAGGATCCGACAGTTGGCCCAATAGAATCATCGAATCGCGGAAGCTGGCAGTGAAATTGAACATGGTAGTAACAGACGGTGACTACAGAGCCAGGTGGTCCTGATCAACTTACTTGACGCCCACTGAACGTGTTTCAAATTCGACCTCGTCGCTCAGAAGCTGTCGGCGCGCGTTGCCGTCTGCTGTGAATCACATTGTTTCCGAGAGCCCCGGCTGGCGTATTGCCAGCTCCAGACCGACCGGTATGTCCCCGAGTCGCATCGTCTGTGTACTGCTCTTGTTTGTCTGGCTTGCAATGTGGCTCATCATTGGCGGTGAAGCGTGAAATTTGGCACAAGCCATCTTTCGCAACAAATTCTTTGCCCTCGCTTTCCGCGAAAGGAACTTGACTAATCAGGCCAGAATTCTACTCCAACTAGCTTAGGGACGCTGAGGATAGTGTGATGGAGGCAATGTCAAGGTCTGGATGCTCGTCTCTCACAGTTTTGAATATACCGAGTACAGTTTAGTAGTGAGGACTCGGCGAGCCTGTAACCCAGAGTAAGCGGCGACTCTTCAACAGCAGCTTCCTGAAAGATTCAAAGTCCGCTGGGCCTTCTTCCAGCTCCAGGTGAGACTCCAATGCCCAGAGCGAGACACAGAAGCCGGATCCTTGTCTACATTACCTGATCCGAGCTGGAGTTTGCTGACAGTCAAGCCTTGACGCTCGACTTGCTGGGTTAGCTCGTTGGCAAGCGCCATGCACTCAAAGGAAGGGCTATCGGGTAAAAGTAGCACTAATGGAGTTTGATCCGCGAGAGAAGCATGTGGCTTACTCTTTCTGGATACGGCGACATGGTAGGAACTGCTGACGGGAATATGGATCTGTTTGTTTAAGCCGGTGGCAGAGTACTCTGTCATCTCAGACACGGCCGCTTTTGCATATCCTCGCAGGCCAAGGCCGGGCTCTCTGGCACCATGGCCGGCAATTTTGAGGTTCTGTATATAGATGGGGACGGCGCCGCTCTCCTCGTCCTCACCAGAAGCGCCCCCAACTGCTGCAAAGGTCAACTGAATCATGCAACCTAGCGTCGAGGGATGCAGCAGATGAGCATCTTCGTATTGTGACGGGGTTGTGGCTTTGGTGTCGTAGATGACAACGGTGCCACAGGCGGATACTTCGTCGTGGCGGACTTCTGCAAGGTTTTGGAATGCCGGACCATACTGCAAGCCAAACGCTTTCGTCCTGGCATAAAAGTCTCGGCGCCCAATAAATTTAGTGCACGCCTTTTCCGTGACTTCAAGCTCCTCCTGGAAACGCTTCATGTTATATATCCTCTCGCGGGCAACGAACTCACTTGGAGAGATGGGCTTGTAGCAATTTACCACAAACCCGCTGCAATTATGCTCCAAGACGTCGGAATCACTCGAGCTCGAAATCCTGAATTCCATCCAGTCTTGGGCGAGACTGTTGGTCTTGGAACACAGAAGTTCTAATTTTGTTTCCAGGCCCTGGTCGTCGTCCGTTATCACCATTGGCCGTTCAAGACGGACATCTCTTAGCTCAATAAAATCGACAACGGCATCTGTCATCTGTCAGAACTGTTACATATTGTGTCCAAGGGCACGGTGCACTTCTTTGGCTTACTAGGGTCTGCAGTTTGTCGAGCAGCTTCGATGGCCATACAGACCATGCCCGCGGCTGGGTACAAGATGTTGGATTGAATGTTGTGATCTCTGATCCACGGAAGGTCAAACGTTCTCAAGAACTGCCGCCATGAAGCATCACCCGAGACCACATCGTTGTAAGGCGCACCAAACAGGTTAACGTGTCCCCCAGCCCAACGACGAGACGCCTTCGATAGTCGCGTCTCCGACCAGTGTGATCTCTTATGGTTCCAGTGATATTTGGGTAGATCAGTCAGCTGGACATGAGAACTATTTTGGTCCTCCATCTGGTGAGCAGCATTAATATTGACAGAGAAGCCGGTCGTGTGGAGGTGTGTGAGGGCTCACGGAAGGGAGCTATAGCGAGGTCACAAGAGCTCGTGATGCAACTGATAAGTTGTATTGCAAGAGAGCTAAAAGAAGTGAAGAAGTTAATTATGTAGAAGAAGAAGAAGAAGAGCTAGCTAAAGGGTGGTAGCGTAGTAATAATAACCTAGTACCTTACACGTGACTATATAGGCTTTAATATCCCCTTATTTAAAAAAAGATAATAGCCTTATTATTAAGATAATAAGAAAGAAAAAAAGAAAAAACTATTAAATCCCTCGTTTATTAAAGTGTATAATAATTTTATATTACTTAATTACCTTCTTTATTAGTTTAATTTATATAAAGGCTAAGAGCTATTAAAATTTATAATACACGTAATTAAAGTAAAATTAAAGCTAATTTCTTATTTAAATCTTTTATTTTATTTACTTATTAGCTAATAAACTTAATACTATTATTACTAGTATTAGCCTAAGTATTATTATCTTTATTATCTTAAGTGGTAGTAATACTAGCCTAAGTATTATTATTCTTATTATCTTAAGTAATAGTAGTATTAGCCTAAGTATTATTATTCTCGTTATCTTAAGTAGTAGTAGTACTAGCTTAAGTATTATTATTAATAGTAGGTGTGTTATTAGTAGTATTATTCCACGTAATACTATTATAAACTATTACGGCGTTAGCGTTAATAGTTGTATTTTAAGCGTTATTATTACGAGGTACTCTCTTTAGTTTATTAGTAGTAAAGCTAATAGCTTATAGAAGCTATTTTACGCGTTAGGCTTATTCGCCTATTAAGAGAGGTGCGCGTTTTCTTTAGGCTTTTTATTTCTTACTAAGCTAAGGCTTTATAGTATTAATACCTTTAACTAGGAAGAAGAGGTTATAAATAATATTATTAGAAATATAATTAAAACTAACGTTATTTATTAAATAGTTATACGTATAAGTATTTTAGTAGTTCTTAGCGGAGTATTTAATGTAGCGTTTATCCTTTTACTATCTCTTATATTCGTAATAAATAAAATTAATAGGGTATTAAGCTTTATAGTAATTAAATTATAAATAATTATAGTAAAACTTATTATTAAGTGTTAAGTCTTTATATAATTTAGTTTTCTTATAATATTATTATAGCTTACTAGGATTACTATTTTACTTAGCGAGAAATTTATTATTTATAACAATTATTTAACCTAGTATAACGCGAGATAAAGTGATATTTAATCTCTTAAATTCCCTAATAAAACCTAGTTTACTACTATAAACTAGAGTAGTAATAATATATTTAAATTAAGAACTAGCTAAGTTATTAATAGTATAAACTTTAATTAAACTAAGAGGCAGTTCTTATAAAGTAATTTTATTAATAAGCGCTTAATATAAAATAGCCTATTATTTATATATATATAAAATTAAAACTTAATTGTAGCGTATTAATTGTTTCTTTGTTAAATAGTCTTTAAGTTAAGGTAGCTTAAAGACTTAAAGGATTTAAAGAGCGTGTTTTACGTAAAAATAAGCTTAAATTCTATTAATAAATAATATACCTTTAGCTTCTTTAAGAGAGTTAATACTAATAAGAATCTAGTTTAATAATATATTAGGTAATAATTTATTCTATTACTTTAAAAAACGTTTAATAATCTTATTTCCCTTTTAGTTTATACTAATA